TCTATCTATCTCTATCTATCTATCTCTTTCTATCTATCTATCTATCTATCTATCAAACTATCTTTCAAACTATCTAACTATCTTTCAAACTATCTATCACTTTCTATCTATCTTTCTATCTGTCTAACTAATCTTTATTTCTTTCTTTCTAACTGATCTTTTTTCTTTCTTTCTGACTAATCTTTCTTTCTTTCTAACTAATCTTTTTTCTTTCTTTCTATCTTTCTAACTAATCTTTCTTTCTATCTAATCTTTCTTTCTTTCTACCTAATCTTTCTACCTAATCTTTCTTTCTTTCTACCTAATCTATCTTTCTTTCTTTCTAACTAATCTTTCTTTCTAACTAATCTTTCTTTCTTTCTTTCTTTCTTTCTTTCTTTCTTTCTTTCTTTCTTTCTTTCTTTCTTTCTAACTAATCTATCTTTCTTTCTACCTAATCTATCTTTCTTTCTTTCTACCTAATCTATCTTTCTTTCTTTCTACCTAATCTTTCTTTCTTTCTACCTAATCTATCTTTCTTTCTTTCTAACTAATCTTTCTTTCTAACTAATCTATCTTTCTTTCTTTCTTTCTAACTTATATTTCTTTCTTTCTTTCTTTCTAACTTATCTTTCTTTCTTTCTAACTAATATATCTTTCTTTCTTTCTATCAATTTTTTTATCTAACTAATCTATCTTTCTTTCTAACTAATCTATCTTTCTTTGTTTATTCTTTCTTTATTTTTTTCGAACTAATCTTTCTTTCTTCCGAACTAATCTTTCTTTCTTCTTTTCTTTCGAACTAATCTTTCTTTCTTTCTAACTAATATGTCTTTCTTTCTTTCTAACTAATCTTTCTGTCTTTCTAACTAATCTGTCTTTGTCTTTCTTTCTAACTAATTTATCATTCTTTCTTTCTAACTAATCTTTCTTTCTAACAAATCTTTTTTCTTTCTTACTAATCTGTCTTTCTTTTTGACTAATCTTTCTTTTTGACTAATCTTTCTTTCTAACTAATCTTTCTTTCTTTCTAACTAATCTATCTATCTTTCTTTCTACCTAATATTTCCTTCTTTTTTCTTTCTTTCTAACTAATCTTTCTTTTCTTTCTAACTAATCTTTCTTTCTTTTTAACGTTTCTTTCTTTCTAACTAATCTTTCTTTCTTTCTAACTAATCTATCTTTCATTCTTTCTAACTAATCTTTCTTTCTTTTTAAGCTTTCTTTCATTCTAACTAATTTTTCTTTCTTTCTAACTAATCTTTCTTTCTACCTAATATTTCCTTCTTTTTTCTTTCTTTAACTAATCTTTCTTTCCAACTAATCTTTCTTTCATTCTAACTTTTCTTTCTTCTTTCTAACTTTTCTTTCTTCTTCCTAACTAATCTTTCTTTCTAACTTTTCTTTCTTTCTTTCTTTCAAACTTATCGTTCTTTCTTTCTTTCTAACTAATCTTTCTTTCTTTCTAACTTTTCTTTCTTCTTTCTAACTTTTCTTTCTTCTTTCTAACTAATCTTTCTTTCTTTCTAACTAATCTTTCTTTCCTTCTAACTAATCTTTCTTTCTTTTTAACTTTTCTTTCTTTCTAACTAATTTTTCTTTCTAACTAATCTTTCTTTTTTCAAACTAATCGTTCTTTCTTTCTTTCTAACTAATCTTTATTTCTTTATAACTAAACTTTCTTTCTAACTAATTTATCTTTCTTTCTTTCTAACTAATCTTTCTTTCTAACAAACATTTTTTCTTTCTAACTAATCTTTCTTTCTTACTAATCTATCTTTCTTTCTTTCTAACTAATCTTTCTTTCTTTCTAATTAATCTATCTTTCTTTCTAACTAATCTTTCTTTCTAACAAATCTTTTTTTTCTTTCTAACTAATCTTTCTTTCTTTCTTTCTAACTAATCTTTCTTTCTTTCCAAATAATCTTTCTTTGTTTTTGATTAAACTCTTTCTTTCTTTTTTCTTTCTAACTAATCTTTATTTCTTTCTAACTAATCTTTCTTTCTTTATTTCTTACTAATATTTCTTTCTAAATAATCTTTCTTTCTTTTTAATTAATCTCTTCTTTCTTTTTTCTTTCTAACTAATCTATCTTTCTATCATTCTTTCTTTCTAAATAATCTATCTTTTTTAAATTAATCTCTTTCATTCTTTCTTTCTAACTAATCTTTCTTTCTTTATATCTATCTTTCTTTCTAACTAATCTCTCTTTCTTTCTACCTAATTTTTCTGTTTTCTACCTCATCTTTCTTTCTTTCTTTCTTACTAATCTTTCTTTCTTTTTTCTTTCTTTCTAATCTTTTTAACTAATCTTTCTTTCTATCTGTCTGTCTTTCTTTCTTTCTAACTAATTTTTCTTTTTTCAAACTAATCTTTCTTTTTTTAAAGGTGGGGTATGTGATTCTCTTTTTTGTACATTTTTTCAAAATAACTTGAAATCCTATTCCTAACCCACTTACAGCTACTGAGTTAGAAGCACTGAAATGAAAATTAAGCAATTTAATCATCGAAAGACAGAATGACTCAAATGTGACTAAGACCAATAAGCATTTACGAAAAATAAATAAATACTATATTGTCTTAATTTGTGTCAGGAGTTATGCAATTCAAAACCCTTGTACCCCACCCCCACCCCCACCCACCACCTTAACTAACACATTTTCTGCGGGAAACCCTGGATCCTATCATAAAACAATGTATACACTGTTTACACCTGTATTTAATGAGTTTCTTTTTTTGTGAAATTTAATTATACATATTAGTATATCAGAGAAATAGCAATGTGCTAAGGCTCAGAATCGTTTATGTGAACTTGTTTGTAGTGCTGCCACTAACGGCTAATTTTCTAACGACTAATCTTTTGACTAATTTTTCGATTAGTCGACTAATCTAAACGACTAATTAAAAAAAATCAAGTGTTTATTTCGTTGTGTCCATTTTATTTTGAACTCAACTGAAGGGCCAAAACATAAAATGTCACCTGTTCAAAAACATTATGTATTAACAATCTAAGCATTAAATATCTGCATTTCCATTAGGCTATTCCATATTAGTCAGAGTCCTAATCTAATCCTCTAATAACAAACATGTATGTATTACTTAAATTAGCTCTTTGTTCTGCCTTAAAAAATGTACAGTAAGCTAATAATGATTAATTTATGTACATTTCTGAAAAGCATAACTGATAACATCACTCTGAATAGTAAAGTAGATGCAATGCATTTTCTGTGAAAAGCGCTATACAAATAAATTGGAATTGAATTGAAAGAGTCTGGACTAGCCCACTATGAGTCGCGCTGAAAGCAGGCAGGCACGCAGTTATGTAGCTCGCGTTTAGACTTGCGTGCATGGCGGGCCCGTGCCGCGGTTCGCGTGAATGTGAAAGCAACACGGACTCGGGAGCGCTTGTTCAGGAAGTTAAGTAACCTGCCCATGCGTTTTAGCTGATTATGATGCATTTAGTTAAATAAAACACATGTAATTAAGGGATGATAGTGTTGATGATTTACCTTGGATACGCGAGAGTTGAGTCTGCAGTGTATTCGCGCATTGCGCGTGCAATCAGGGCAACACATTTGGAAAGCCACTGTCTCCTCAAAAGAGTCCGTTTGAAAAACACAATACCGGTATATTGACCCGCGTTCTGTTTTCTATCATGCGCCGTGCACGTTTGCGATGGCATAAGATGCACGCAAACTCAACAGGGTTCGATAGAATTGAGTGTGAAACCAGACCAACGCTGCGGGGGGCGCCAGGAACAATCACGCTCGGACTCGGACCGCAGCAAACGAGCCCACTGTGAAAGCTCCGTCACCTGCCTCCGCAATTTTTCATATCAAAGCAGTGAAGGCGGGCGGGAACGTGAAGGAAAATGATAGCAGATAAACCAGCAGGGCGCGCACGGCGCACAGACTGGTGTGTGGAGGTGAATTACAGTGAGCCGTTTGTGACGGGAGACCAAAAATAAATAGCGGACTAGCGGTCAATAGTAAAACGACACGTCGACTAAAAAAATTGCCATCGACTAATTTGCATGGTCGATTACATCGACTAATTTGCATGGTCGATTACATCGACTAAGTCGACTAATCGCGGCAGCACTACTTGTTTGTGTATGTTCAAATGAACCAACTCAATGCTTAAAGTAAGTAAATGTGTCTTTTAAACATTTATTTTATATCAACTCTGAAAGAACGATTTACTTCAAGGATTTGGAATTGGATATGAGAGGATGTTTCAGGTTTGAGATTGTATTTATTACTCCATCTCCACGGCTATTTTTACAATATAATTTGACTGAAACGTTTTGTGAGGCTTCCTTTATTCTTCTTGAGAAAAATGGCATGAATGTAAAAAAATGTAAAGCACTTTGAATAAAGAGTCAGAAAAGCACAAAATAAGTAAAACATTCATTCATTCAACACTATAAAACAGTCCCCTCCCTCAAAAGAGCTTCAGTCCATATGTTTCACTGACATCTGCTAATCTCCATCCCATCAAACCCTAAGTGCTGGTTGAATGTACAGTTATTGTCATGGCAATCATGCATCTTAAAACTGAAAACTAAAACCGAAAGTATTTCTGCCAGGTTAGGCGTGTTTATGTTTGATCATGTGCACAAGTAGAGGACTTTCTGTTTCTGTTTAATCTCAGTAACAGTCACCAGATGAGACCGGAAGATCTGAAAATCAGCTACGATTTAGACAGTAAGATGCACACTAAAAATTATATACTTAGAAAAACATTTATATACAATTGAGGCAATGGACAAATGTGGTGATGTTTTCGTTTTGTGTGCTACTGTGGCTGATGGAGAAGAACAAACTGAATGGAAGTACAAAGATCACAGCACAAATTATGTTGTGTATATATGCTGAACAATTTTGTCTCATAGACTGGTAACAACTGAACTAATCAGTTAAGTGAGAGATTTAGCAGTATTGTTTTGGTTTTCTACTATCGCCTAAACTACTTTCAGAAGTTTTCTGTTCTTTTCTATTCAGTTCTGTACGTTGGCAAGATGACGGATGAATACATCACAATAGAATCAGACCTCATTGAGTCAGATGAGGACACTGACGTACTATCAGCACCTGAGTTTACATGCCACTGTTGTTATGAAGTCCTCGTAGATCCCACTACGCTCAACTGTGGCCACAGTTTCTGTCGGCATTGTGTGGCGCAGTGGTTGCATTCTTCTAAACGGAACGAATGCCCAGAATGCAGAGCGAGTTGGCAGGGGTTTCCCAAAGTCAACATTCTCCTCAGGTGAGAGAACCATTACTATCTACTGGACATCTGCTCAGGGGTGATTCTAGGATTTCAATCTCAGCCCCCAATGAGGGTATGATCAAAAAAAAAATCTATATTATATTGTTTGTGTTAATATCCCTCTTCGATAGTAGGACTGAATAGGCCTACTGTAATAGGTGATGGTTCATATCTAGCTTTCCTCAATGGGGTGTCAGTCAGAACACACTGGATTTGATCAGTTCCAGGCAAAGGAGGTTTATTGTTGACAGTCTTTGGCTGTACACCACACTGCAGTACACAGGCTTTACATGGTTATGGGTGTGTGGTCTACAAAGGGAAAGGAATAGAGATAGGCTATATTAACAAATGTCTTTAGTATTATTGTCATACTTTTAGATGAACGACAGGAAGCAAAATGCAAGTAACAGTTTTAATGAACAGTCTCTGATGTACAGTGCAAACAGATGTGACGGGTGACGCAGGGACTTTGATGGTCAGGATCCGTGAAGAAGTGCAGTGATGATGAGACAGTGAGACGACAGTAGAAACCACTCGACAAGACGCAGAACAGGAACAGAAGGCAGGAACTGGACACCGGAACATAGTGAGGAAGAATGGGTTTTAGGAGTCAGATGTTAAGATCCTAAGTTTCTATATGCACTTAAAAGACATGACCTGAACGAACCATCAATCATCGCTTTAACCCTTCTATCGTTTCTTAGGCAGGTTGTTAAATTTTATATTAAACGCCAGTTCAGTTAGTCTGGAGGCTACTTGCTTGTCCTTGCTTTGGGGTTCCCGTTTGTAGGTGTAAAGGGGTTTCCCGGGTCCGTTGCTTGGCTAGCGGTCTCCTTGTTAGATCTTGGGCAGCCAGTCACGTGGTGTGTTGGCGGATGGATGTAAGTCTTTGAAGTTGGAAGCGCGTTGCAGTCGAAACGTTTAAACGAAACTTTGCAGCAAAACTTAACTTAAAACCGAGACTTTTAATGGAAAAGAAAACTAAGGAAAAGAAAGTAAAGTGTGACGAGTAGATGGTCTGAATGAAACTGTTGCACCCGTTCTTCTGATCTTAATTTTGGGTCGTTTGTCTCTGTGTCTACATGGTTACCATAACCATCGTCGGCTCCACCCGGCTTGTTGTTCTGCCGAGACCTTTTCCGAGGGAGAGGGCGAGGGCAAGAGAGTGGCCGAGAGTCATGAGAGCGTCACATGATGAAGGAAGAAGCAGCCAGGCGCTCCAGAGATCCACCAGAGCGTCACATGAGAGAGAAGAGCGTCACAAGAGAGTTACTAGCGTGCGACCAGAAACTCTGCGCGTCTCTTTAAAGACATTGGATCACACCTCCTCTGGCGTGAATACACCAATCAGCTGGGAGAACAGTGTTCAGATAAGCGTTCCTTTGTTCCCTCGAGACCAACTTTGCATCTTTTAATGGCAGTGACGTACAAATGCGTTCAATTTTACTACAGAGATGATCAAACATACATTTTACGGTTCGTACACATACATATATGATTTAGTCAGATCAAGAGGATTCTAAAGATATGAAGAACGACATAAACATTATAAGGAAAACACAGTTACATTAAAAATGCATAGGCACCTCTGTTTCTTCTAGAACTACCATATCACATCTAATCTAAATGGAACATGGGCAAACATAAAAACATATTGAATATATCATAGTACCAGTCTTTCAATGAGGATATTGGAGAATTGGAGGAAAGTCCTTATGTGTGTGTGTGTGTGTGTGTGTGTGTGTGGGTATCCTTATGGTCAACATCTGTCGCATCCGTGGTGTGTACCACGTGAGGGTTTAGTTTGCAAATAGTTGTCTTCAAGACAAAGGGTTGTTTTGTATGTACATCCACTTATCAGCCTTAAGGAGACATAATAATTGATGAGGGGGGAAAAATTAGCTCGAGACCCTGAATGGAGCATTCTTCTTCTTTGTGACTGAACACACATTACACGCAGGGTAAGGATTCGAGAACAACGGGGACCTGTTTCTTGATTGCGCAATGCGTCATAAACGAAGTTAATCAATGACCTGCCGGCAGACATTGGGGCACCATATCACATGATTCAAGGTTTTGTGAATTAAACGTATATGTGTTCATATTTGTTCAGTAGTGAAAGGAAAACAATCAGGATTCGGTCAGTCGCTACAATCAGGGCCGGCGCTCCGCACACGCACATCACGCGCTGCGCGTAGGGCACCAAGTGCTTGGGGGGGCACCAAAAAATCTGGGTCGTGAAAAATCATCACAATAGGCTACTAGTATAAATAACAAATACAATATGTCTAAAGCATGTTAATATACAAAAGCAATACAAAAGTAATATAGGCCTAGACCAAATTAGTCGAGAAAAAGGTGAATCTCATTTTTCGTCTCCCTCTGGTGCCCCCCCTTCCCCACCTCCCAGTGGTCTGTTCGAATATGCCTCAATCAATGTCAAATTTGGCAGACACCGACCTCAGACATGGCCTCGGAAAGGCACCAAGAGTCGGGGGCGAAAAAAGGAAAAAGAATAGACAGCGGGATGATACTCGCGCGTCGCTTTGCAGGTAAGACAATGTTTTAAATAAAAATGTTAGTTTTGTAGCGCGGGCGCCCTTGCGTCGTGTATGCATGTCCAGGGGGCGTCGCTAGTAGTGCAAATGATCCGGGGCTTTTTTAGCCCTGCATGTTGAATCTTTTATTTTAACGGGGGTCCGGGGCTTTCTCCCCCGGAATTTTTTTAAACTTGGGCTGTTTAAGATGCAGTTAGTTTGTTTGAGAAGAAAAGGAAGACCGCTTAGATACGTTTTTTCGTTGTTGTTTTATGCGGATAATGCGTTCATTTTCAAGAGGCCAAGGCCCAAGGGCGACATCTGTTGGTGAAACTGCAATTAGAAAAGAAAAAAAAACCCACAATCTCAGTGTTTGTATATTTTCATATTCACAGAGTTGTCAAATTATTAGGGCTGGGAAAAGATTAATCGCATCCAAAATAAAAGTTTGTGTCTACATGATATATGTGTGTGTACTGTGTATAATTATTTTGTATATATAAATACACACACATATGCACGTATATATTTAAGAAATATTTGCATGTATATACTGTATATATTTATATATAATTTATATTATATATAAATTTAAATATTTTATATATAAATAACAAATATTTCTTAAATACATACATGCAAATGTGTATTTATATACACTACCGTTCAAAAGTTTGGGGTCAGTGAGAATTTTATTTTTATTTTTTGGAGGAAAGAAATCAATACTTTTATTTATCAAGGAATAGTTAATTTGATTGAAAGTGACAGTAAAGACATTTATAATGTTACAAAAGTATTTTGAACTCCCTATTCATCAAAGAATCCTAAAAAAAAAAAAAAAAAAAACTGTACAACTGACAGACCAACAACTGTTTCAAAATTTGATAATAATAATTAATGTTTCTTGAGCATCAAATCCTCATATTATACTGATTTGTGAAGGATCATTTGACACTGAAGACACTGACACTGGTGATGCTGAAAATTCAGCTTTGATCACAGGAATAAATTACACTTTACTATATATTCACACAGAAAACAGCTGATTTACACTGGAATAATATTTAATACTATAACTGATTTTTGTTGTATTTTTAATCAAATAAGCGCAGCCATGGTTAGCAGAAGAGAATTCTTTTAAAAGTATTTAAAATCGTACCGACCCCAAACTTTTGAACGGTAGTGTATATACAAAATAATTATACACAGTACACACACATATATCATTCATGTAGACACAAACTTTTATTTTGGATGCGATTAATCGCGATTAATCTTTTCCCAGCCCTACAAATTATGTACAGAATTATTATATTGTGCTTCATCAGACTAAGAAATTCTGAATGGTTGTTATTCCTTGGGTGGGTGAGGGGGTGAGTGGGGTGGGGGGGCACCACCAAGCATTTGTGCTTAGGGCACCCAAATGGCTAGCGCCGGCCCTGGCTACAATGATTATGTATGAAAGCTTCAATTGTGTTTGGTTCATTCTCGTAGTTGCTACAACACAATGCATTATAAGGCGCATTACAAGGCATAATTAATGCATTAAAATACTTTTATAATGCATTATACATAAAGGATTTAAAGTAAAGTGTTACCCAAAAGTATTTATTGATTTTCATCCTTATATTTTAAGCTTGTCCCCCAAACTAAATTTTAATGAGACCTCAACCACAATAACAGTCCTCATATTTAGTGTTGGAATGAGGGGGTGGGTTCACATTCTCAAAAACATAAACACTAATTTTTAATTTATAGTTATAGTTTTTGTAGTGCAGTCTTTAGTTGCTGTTTTATTTCTGTTCCATTGCCAACTCCAATTTTTACTTCTGAGTTGGTTAAAGGTGCCTAGAATGTTTTTTTTTTAATTATTTTATAATGTTTCCTGGGTTACCCTTATAATGTTAGTATGTTTTTTAGATAAAAAATAATCATAATTTAGAAAAAAATGGCATTTTTCCTAGCCTGCTTTTAGCCTCTGATTTGAACACTCTGTTTGAAGGGGCGTGTCTGCTGTGGGATTCAGTGTAACCGCGGCCACTGCTGTGATTGGCTGACATGCTTGCATATGAAATAGCTACGCATTACATGTGAAACTCTCTCCCGAATACTTTTACTACTGCTATTATACGTTTTTACTATAACAGCTATCGAGATTAACGAATCGTGAGATGTTTTTAAAGTATTTAGATCTATTCCCATCACATAAAATGTTGCCGTGATGAGCATTGAGCAGATGACAGTGTTGATCGCGAGAGTGAAGATCTTATCATTGCAAAGCAGTTTCTGCACTCTCTCTGCTTTCACCAATGCAAACACGATGATGTAAATACAGTAAGAGCTTCGTTGTGCAGTAACGTGCGTCATTGATATCATAACGAGTTTGGCAAGTGTCCAGATAAACTCGCGCTGTGTGGAAAGATTGTTCTTTGATCGCTTTCTGTATATAATTTGTTCACAATTTAAATCGATTATTTTCATCCTACTAAAAGAAACGATGTGAAGCTGATATTTTAGTCACTGGCTTCACTTACTGATGCAAAACAGTATTAAACGATTTTGAGAGAAAGATTACCTGTCTGAACTTGAACAATTACACATCAGAAAGTGTTGCTTGGTAGCTCGATCCGAGGCCAGCTCTGTATTGGCCCAAGTTGAGGAAACACTCGGTGAAATGTTTGGAAATTTCCAGAGAAAATAAAATTAACCCATTGTTTCTTCAGAGGCTCAGATGAAGGAACTAAAAAATAGCCTACTTTTGTGTTCATGTTTACATCCACACTGAGCAACTGCCATGCTTCGGCTGCGCAGTTCCGCCTGGCATTGAGGGCTGGCATTATGCAAATATTTGGAGGCGTACATATTAATGATCCCGACTATTGCGTCACAGTCGGTATTGTGTGGAGAACCGACCGTTTTTGAGGGGTGTTTTTCATAAACGTGAATTAAATGAGAACGCGAAAACAGTCCAGTTTGAGATTCACTCTATGTCATGTCCATGCACTGAACTCTTGTTATTTGACTATACCAAGGTAAATTCAATTTTGAATTATAGGTCACCTTTAAAAATGTTTACTCTCTATTCTTTTCATGGATAACAACAGTTGTATTTCTCTCATGTCTGTGTGTAATTCTCTTTCCTGCACAAGGCTACAAATCTTGGAAAATCCCTGTTTCTCCAGTTTGGTCTGAGAGAATTCCCACGTCTCACCTTTCTCTACTTGTACCTGTTTGATTATCAAGACACCTTTCTACCCTTCATACACACCTGCTGCCCTGCACACACAACCAATAAAGTGCAGGATGTCCTGCCCGACAACATGCTGGTTTGTGTCTGAGAACTCTCACCATTGTTAACATACAACAGCTGAGCTGAAAATAAGAAAACAGAGTAATTGTGTGTATGTAGCAGGAGCCAAGCCAGCATCAATGGATGGAGTTTCGGGTGAAGGTATGTTTTTTGCCCTATCTGCTACTGATTGACTTTGCGTGGCAATGGATGAGCGTTCATTACTGGATGTCACGGATTGTCATTGTTAATGCCATGTTAATGACAATATTGGAGTTCTTTTAAAGCTGGATACTATGGAGAAGAAGACAGATGAGGTACACACATACATTTACTATACATACTGTACCTGTACATGTAATGTGGTTACAAGCAGTTGTGTGATTCGATCACAAATGTTTAGAATGTTTAGATGTTGTTCCAGTCAACACGTTGATCTCACAGTGATGTCACCATGTGGTCACAGTGAGCTAAAAGTGTAACTCACTGTGTGCTTATACTATGGCCACAATAGGAGCTCATCCCAGCTAGAAATAATATTGTTCTATGAGTGTTTTGTGACTATTATGTTATGTTCTTTTAATGTTTTCTGTAGCTATTTTTTGTTACCAGAAAGTTCTGGTAGTATAACACTCTCTAAAACATTTTAAACATGTTTATTGATAACATTGATAGAACATTATCCCCTGACATTCTGAAGTTTTAGCGGGAAGTTTCCCAGCAGACACAGGACTAAACCTCTTAAAAGAGTTTGTTTGAGAGTAATAGTTTGGTCACCAATGTGGAGGTCAGTGTTTGCTTTAGTTGAGCTCTTTGGCCTTGACTCTTTGATGTTAGATTTTCTCTGGTTGCTGAAAGTGTTTGTTATAGCAAGAGAAAATATGATTAAGTATGTTGGCTACTTGTGAATAATAAAGATATTATATATTATGTGGTGGTCTGATTTTAATCAGGGAGTAGTATCAATTTTACGTGATCATAATAATCCAGGATTTCTAAAGCATGATATCTTGCAGCATTTTAATCAGAAATCTGGAGTATTTAATATAAAAAATATGTGTCCAGTAAGTTTTAAAACCCTTCATTAAAACAAACCCTAATCTCATGAATCTCAATAACAGTGATATGCTTCATGGCGCAATGCTTTCTGGGTATATCATACAAAACTCATTAGTGGCTCCCAGAATGCATTGCGGCATGAAGCATGTCACTGTTATTGAGATTCACACACTGATTCTTGAGGTTTGAGTGTGTCACTAAGTCAACCAATAGTACAAAATGTTTAGTTTTTTTATTATTATACAGATATTCTTATTTAAACACTGTTGGATATCGTTGCTGTAGAAACATTACTATAATCATTTATATGAAATTAATAACACACATGTCAGTCTGGAAGTGATCAGAGCACTACATGATGATAATACCATAATCATCATCATCAAGTAGCTGAAATCATCTGATCACATTTTCTCTTACCGTTCTTGCCATAACAAACAGTTACAGCAGCCAATGTTAGAAAAATCTAACATTAAAACACCAAGAGTCAAACTGCCCAATTTAAAGAGCATATTGCAGGTAAAAAAAAAAACTAAATTAATATATAACCTTGTATGAAAATACCATATGAAAAGTTAATGCAGGATTTAAAATGTTTTAAAACGACATAAGGGCACTAATTTAGTAGATAAAGTGAGCGTTTCTTGGACTGCTCGTAAAAACGGCTTCTTTTTTTTTCAAAATCGCGTCATTTTACCTCACGCTAGGGAGCCTCAGCCTCGGCTCAGTGCAGAGTAGGCTGGCGTTCAGTGAGAGCGGCCGTGAGTCGGTGTGTTTTCGGTAGTTTTTGTATTTTAATTTATCATCGTCATGGTAAATTATTGTTTGTGGAGGTTGCAAAAACTCCGGCCTGTCAGGACATCGAGTCCACAGGTTTCCATAACCAGAAAAGGGACGGTGTTGTATATCTTTCGTGCCTGGTGCGGTGTGTGCAGGTGAAGAGACGGGATTTCTCTTCCGCATCGGCTTCGAGTGTAGCTTTCACTTCAGATAGGAGGATTATCATCCAGGCGATATGATGGACTTCATGATGGGATGCCGAAGCAAAAATATTGATCGTCTAATACTGTACCAATGGCATGAAATAGTGATATAGGTAGTCATGCCCTAAATAGAGGCAACTTGTAATTGAAAAACAAAATTACTCAGGTTGTTTAAATATTAAAATCTTTAATTTTCTGTTTATGTTATAACCCAGGTGAAAAATCTGTATTAAAAATGTACTTGGGTATGTTTTTAGTACAATAGAAATATACTCAAGTATAGTTTTTATACATTTAATAGCCTAGTATAAATCTACCCTAAAAATACTAATGTCTGCTGGCCTGATATACGATGGTAATAATCTGTACAATATTGTGAGCACAGTGTATATCGTTAGCGAACGTGTATATCTATCAGCACGTCTCTCACCAAGACACCTGTCCTGTTCTCCACTGGTTCTGACACCACAACTCATGGTGTCTCTGACCGTTCTGTCTGACATTAGTCCTGGCCTGTCCTGCTCTCTTGGTAGCATAGCAGGCTCATAATTGTATGGCTGTGGTCCGTCATACGAGTAAGTACTTCCTCAGCGTCCGAAATGTCATTGCGATCCATTGTTTTCCTGTTGTTTGAATCAACCGCTCGCCCGTTATGTCACGCCCGCCACGCCCATTTTCAGACGCGGAAGTAAAATTTTCTCACAAAAACGACTCCAGAAGCTTCTGTAGCGTATTTATAAGTATATTTTAAAGAAAATCTAGTTCCTACATTATTTTTCTATACATTGACTCGTTGGGTCCTCTAACCTGCAATATGCCCTTTAAGTAAACACTGATCACCATAATGGTGATATCAAACCAAACTACTAATTTTAATAAATCATCAACATCTAAACCAAGGACTTTTGTACACATATGACAAAAGTATATCTGGTTTGTAATAAGTGAAGCTGGTAATGCTGTTTGTGGAGTTGTTTAATGACGTTGGAGCCTGACATTCAATGTTTAGATGTCAGCCCAATTTTAATGTTCAACCCAAATTTTACGTCTCGGCGATGTTGGAGTCCATGTCCAATAACATTTCTAGCTGGGGTGACTAGTGCACAGTGCGGTTACACTTTTAGCTCACATTGTGATCATATGGAGAGATCACTGTGAGATCAACGTGTTGACTGGGGTTGTTGCTGATCACTTGTAATTAAGTCACCAGAAAATATCTTAAAACTAATGATTTTGTTTACACCTCATATTGAGAAAATAGCTATATACTCAACATTCACAAGTCAGATATTGTGTGTGTTTGTGTGTATATTTCAGAATCCTCCCTAAGATATGTTTGGAGAGGATATTCAGTCTGTTCTGGTTTGTGCTGCTGTGGCCTGTGGTCCCTCAGATCTACTGGGACTTTGAATTCTACGCTGGATTCTGTTTCAGCTCAATCATTCACATCTGGAGTTGGGAATCTTTTTTTAAGAGGGCACAGCAATGAAAACCAAGAGCTGAAACCTGTGAAGCAACTTTTTAATTAATCATAACAAACATTCCTTTTTCTTGCAGGATTAAGATTTATATGCTTTTGAAAACTAAATGTCTCCAACACTTGGCCCAAAGTTAGTGTGAGTTATATATCAAGTGTTTGCTGTAAAGTGAAGTGTTGGGCTCTTGACCCTTGGCTTTTGAATATTATTATAGCTTTCCTCTGGCTGCTGTAACCATCAGTTTAAAATACACTTGTTATGGCAAAAAAGCAGTAAGAAAACGCTCTCAGATGATGTTGGCTACTTATTATTGGGCAAAATCATTATCTCGTAGTCTGGTTTACAGATCTTATTTAGAATTTAATCTATAATTATATTGGTGATGTTATATAATTTTGATTACTGCATCCGTGTGCTTCTATAGATATGTCTGTTAAGTGATGAGATAATATGAAAAGATAAAAAAAAAAAGATTGTGCTTAACCCTCTGGGGACGGATTGGGCGGTACCGCCCAAAATGGCATACTTTTACAAATGTGTAATTATCTTAAAAACTATTAATGATAGAGAGCTGCAGTCTTTTTTACCGTCTTCCTCAGATTCCGCTGAAAACAGTGATACCCGGCTTTGTAAATATACACACTTCCTTGTTGCGCAATACCACAATGTAAAAGGCCAATGAAATCGATGTTGTTTGGCAGATTCCGCGAACAACAACCAATTGAAAAATTGCCGATGGAGAAATATTTTTCTTACCCAATCAGAGGAAGGTTACCATGACCTTTCTAGCAAATCAGAGGACTCTGTAGCCTTGTAAGGGGTGGTACTATATAGTTAGGGATATGACGCAAACAGCGTTGAATGGAGAGAAGGAGAGAGAGCGAACGGAGGCTTACGGGGCGGATTATCAGATATTTATATGAGAGAGAGAGAGAGAGAGAGAGAGACAGAACAATTATAATATATATATATATATATATATATATATATATATATATATATATATATATATACACACACACACATACATACAATTATAGCATTATTTATTGTTTTAGCACTTTTATGATGGCAAGCAGTAAACGATTTACGGTGGAACAAGCTCTGGAACAATTACTGGAGAGTGACGAGGAGAAAGCATTGCTTAGAAAATTCTAAGCATTCCTAAGAAAAACGCCTGGGACTATTTGTAAATAAAGTTACATTTTTCATTGTTCTTTACACATTTGATTTAACAATTACACATGTCTGTCAAGCCAAGGCTTTGACAAATAAATTTTTTGTTCAAAAACTGTTCACTATTTTTGTGTGATGTGTGATTTTCAGAAATAAATGAGAAAAATCTAATTACCGTTTTTGAAATTCACTCATACTTCCTTTATAAACACATTACATGCATGCGTATGTTATCTTAAGGTCTTCTGAATCCATAGATACCAAACACATAGTGATCCATCTCCATTACATATGGTTTATAAGCCCAAATGTAAAAATAGAGAAAACGGACCAAAAAGGGTTTAGTCCCCAGAGGGTTAAACAGTCACACAGACGTCAAGATTCGGCGTATGAATATCAACAATGGTGACAATCTAAAGCTACATGCCACAATGCATGCTGGGTATTAGCATAGTACAAAAAAGGTCCATGACTCCCAGCATGCATTGCAGAATGAATAAATTATACAGCTGAATTGTCTGGTTATTTTCTTTAATACTTACTGTTTGCCTTAATTTTGGCTGTTGTTTTTGTGTTGACTTTCAGTGGC